ACTTAAAATTTGATTCAATTACTTATTAGTCTATTAACGTATTACTCTTAAGGGTGTTGTTCCCTACACCACCACTCCTTGCTCCCAGCACCTCTCCGTTCCTGATTTTTCCTTCAGTAAAATTTTATTTTTAGGGTTAATATTTATTACCTTCTACCCACTCCAACAATAACCCATTTCTGGTCCCCGGATGAATGCATCCTGCGCGACAATATCAAAAGTTATTCTTCGCAGACAAGCTCTTCTTCCTTTCTTTAACGTTTACTTCTTTCTCTCTTTCATTATTTTACCGTGTGTGTTGTGAGAGTCTGGCGGACTTTCATTTGGTGGTGTGAGAATCCAGCGTTGCGAGAGTTCGGTGTTGGTGGTGGTCGTGCTTGAAGGTGAAGGTGCAGTGTTCCTCCCCTCCCAGGTGCGTAATAAACCCTAAAACAAACATTTTAACCTTAAACGAATGTGAGCATCCGTCAACGGATGTCAACATCCGTTGAAGGTAAAATGGATGTCGACATCCGTTTTGACCTTCGCGGCGGGCGACTGAAAAACAACAGCAACACATGTTAAAACCAAATAGATTTACAGATTTAAACTAATCTAGGATGGAGATGAAAAACCAGATCCCGCTTGATCTACGTCATCTGCACCAGGAATTAACACCAACAATGAAAGGAAACAAACAGAAAAGGGAAGAGAAGGTTGAAAGAAAAAGAAATAAAAGGAAGAAGAAAAGCTTAAACGGAAATGACAAGTGAAGAGAGAATCCGTGAAAGATGTGGTGGTGGGGTGCAGCCGCGAGAGTGAAGAAGAAGTGAGTGGTAAAATTAGGGTTTTGAAATATGTTAAAAAATCCCAAAAGGTAAAAGTAAAAAAGTTAAAATAGAAGGGTAGTTTTGGAAATAAAATAAATTGGGAAGGTGGAGGAAGTAAGGAGTGGTGGTGGAGGGAGCAACACCCTACTCTTAAAATAAGTCACGCAATCGCTAGCCCAACTGCAGCCCAATCCTACTAACCGATCGGTCAACTCTCTTAACCGCTTAGTCTGGATATCATACTATACAAACATAGTAATGATTCTTTGACACACTTTAATTTTTTACATTCATTTAACACTATCTTTTTTATTTTGTATTCTCTCATTTCTTAAAAAAATACAAAAGTTTCCGTTATGATCATTTTATCTTTATATTATATGTATGTAAAAGTAATCTATTCGAGTTCTCTTCCCTTTTCGTGTTTTTCATTCTTCTTTGCAAATGTTTCCCATCTCGCTTTTTCCATCATTTTCCCACATAGCACCTCCACTCACTGCTTGTACACATGCATATGTCTCCTTGCACTGCCACCACGACTGCCTTCACACAGCGTCTCCACAAGAACCCGCCCTGGGTTGAGCGCCTCCACACCTTGATTTTGGTCCAACACTACCTTCGCGCTGCTTCTTCGGTCTAGCCCTTCTTTCGCTCCATATTTTTGGTCCAGGCCAACGTCTGTCTTATTTCTGGTCCAAACCCTCCTTATCGCATGTGTTTTTCTTGGTATTCTTTTCATGGCCGTTTTGATCTTCTTCCTTAACCTACAAAATTTTCCCTCACTTTTTCGTGCCCTGACCATTTTCTCTAGGATTTTCCCGCACTTTCCCTACCGCGATTCCTCTATACAGAGCTTTCCAAGAATGGCCAAAGTACAAGAAGATTGTGAAACTTCTCATCTAATATCAGGGTAATTGAATAGTTTTTTAAACATAAATGTAGCTATGCTATGTTATGTATGATGTTAATGTGTTTTCTTCATATTAGTAGCCTCTCAAATAATAATTTGTTGATTAAATTTACTGTTGAATGTTGAAACTTTTAGTATTAATATTAATAAGTTATAGGAGTTTGAAATCTTTTTCATCTTAAGTAAAATAGGAGATAAGTAACTTTAATTTTGAGAAATAATAAAGTGAATTATGCGATGAGGAAGTTTTTGAGTAAAACAAATTTCTTGCAAGATTCTTTGTACACTTTTTCTACTTTAAGGAAGGAATAGTCAATATTATGAACCATAAATTACAACAAAACCTTTTTGAGTAAAGTTAATGCAGATAGCATTTTTTAACATATATGGTTCTGACACTGTAGGTTACAGAAACTTATGCTCACATTCTAAAAGTTATTGCACCTCAATATACTAATCTCCACATTCGCCATTAAAAATCCTTACGAACGAACAACATTAGTTCTTGAACATGTTAATAAGATAGGTTCTAATGTACTAGAATGCTTTTGATTGATAATTGAATATTGTAAAAAGTGAAAAAAAAATCACATACATCGATTTTGAATTATAACTTATGCAATAGCTTTTTTTTTACTTTATAAATATTTGTCTAGTAATTGATGTTAAATTATATGATGTTACATAAACATAAATTATAAAATATTCGTAAGGTGTAATACATCACCTGAAAAAAAAAAATCAAAAACAGTAAATTCTAACTCATTGGCTCATCTAATATTGTATTTAAGGTGAAGATAAAACAACAGAAAATAATGATACCGATAATGTATATGAAAAAAATCATAACATCGGAGAAGAATCATTATTATAAAAGCAAAAGAAAAAAGCTTATATGATGCGTCACTCATAAATAGTATACATATATTTGACTCAATTGGCATACATTCCCCACTTTAAATGAGAAGAATTATTCTTCAACAATTCGATGTGTAAACAATATAAAATCGTTGAAAAAAAAAATTCCTTCATTTATGTGGATTAATCTTTGTCAAATACATTTAGCTCTTTGTTATCGATCCTATTTAAATTATTAAATGGCAATTAAAAAACAGTTTTTATATTATCATTCAATTCATATAACAGGACGTTATTTCAATATTTTTTTTATTTCCTTTTTCTTGTGAGGACTAACTCAATTTGAAAAAAAGTCAAAATGATGAATCTCTGTCAAATTTGTTACCAAACACGAGGGGTTGATTATGAACTAGTTATAATTATACAAAGGAGGCTAAATTTTACGTATTCCTGAGTTATGAAAGAACAAATAAAAAAAATCAAATAGTCATCGGTTCTTAATTAATAATAATAAAAAAAAAACAGAGTACCTTTGGATAAGAATGTCCGGAAAACATTCAAATGTATTCAATTGATTAAATTTTAAATGATCTCATTTGAGAAAAGATTTAAATTTATTAAATTTTACTTTTTTTTATTTAGATAAAATATTTTAATTATCATTCAAGATAAAAAAAAATTTATTCAAACAGAAAATAACTATTACTAATTTAAAAATATTAATATCATTTTTTTAATATTGGTTAATGTTATATTTTGTCAAAATAGACAATTTTTATTGATGTTGTTTGAAATTAATTAAAATCAACTACAATATTAATTTAAGTTATTTTTATCATATTGATGACTGAAGAGTTTTTTTCTTTCTTTCTTTCTTTCTTTTACTTTCAGATTAATGTTGACTCAAAAAGTGAAGTCGAGATTAAAATAATATGTTAGTTGATTTTTTTTTTGTTAATAATAGAAAAAATATTAACAAAATTTTAGTAAGTAAAGTATTGATGTCGATCGCGATGATAGAAAAACAGACACTTATCGACTATTAATAAAAAAAATCTTTTCAATATTGGTTGAATTTTTTTGGACTAATATTAAATAAATAATAATAATAATTTGCAACAACAAAATGACCTTAATAAGTTAAATCGAATAAAATAACTCTTATGAACATTAAGAGAAAAAAATATTTAAACTTAAGCAAATTATAGTGATCCCAATAATAATATTCAAACCAAAATTGAAAATAAAATAAAAGTAAATTACATAAGAATTCCAAAATTTTCTTTTCATTTGAAGTTTGAAATGATCTAATTTTAAATAATTTAATTGTTTTCATGGGTTTTTCTTTTTAAAAAAAATGTTTTACTCAAACAACACAATTATCATAAACCAAAGTTTTCTTTATAAAAATAATTATCTTCTAAAAATTCCCCATCCAATGTAAATAATCATGAACATGTGAGTTATTGGTAGGTAAAGATTAGAGTGATTAAATTAAGTGATTTCTTTTTGTTTTTGCTTAACTAATTTAATTAAGGTTTACTTTATATTATTTTGTTTATTTTATAACTAAACTCATCCTTCTTTTTTGGGTGTACTTGGGTTACCGGTAAATAAAATAAAAACACAATTTACCAATAATATAATCTAAAATAAATTATTTAATATTATACTTTTGGTGAAATAACGATACTTATGTAATAAAGCATACAATACCTAAAATATATAATACCTTTATAACAAATTTGCCAGACAATTAATATGTTTATTTTGTGTTCATTAAATAGTTAGGTTAGGTTCAACAAGTTATTAAACTCGGTTATTTAATTAAATTATAAATTATTATGCTTGACCAATACCCACGGACTGAACTTAATTCACCAAAATGTAGTGGAATTAAATGGATTTCAAAATGTGACGTGACTTGTTACATCCTAAAAGTAACAATGGTGGAGAGATACTGCTAATTGTGGTGAGATGACCATCATACACATAGCAACAGTGAAAAAGTCATTACATATAAAATTCAATAATATGTAAAAAAATCAAATCTATGAATTCTTTTTCCTAGTTTTGAAACCCCCTTTTCAAAAATCTGTTTCCTGGTTCATTCTCCAAGCATAACACACCGAGTTAAAGTATTTAAACTGTTGTTGTCCATGATATAGAGTATGAGAATACATGCAATTGCGTAAAACGTTGGAGGATATATACATTTGCTTTTCATTCGAGTTGAGTGCATGAGAAAATCAATTTTTTGACAAGTTAATATTAAATCATTCATATACGTTAATTTATTATTATTATACCACACAAATGCATGAAAAAAAAGCATAAAATTTATGATGAAATCAACGTTCAAAATAAACTTGATAATTAAGGGTCAAATAGCCTTTTTCTCACTTGATAACGTCATGAGGGCGGTCAGGGATTGCGGCTCACTGCATGCATAATTCATCAGGTTTTTGTTTTTGTTGCATATAGTCACCATTTTCTAGTATTCATATTCTTACATGATTTTTCTGCATAAATTTGTAAACCCTTTTAATCTATACACAAACCATCTCTTATAAACATTCATAAAAGATGACATCATGGGAAGAAGAACGATGTTGTATGTGCAGTGTGTTTTTATCTGGCCTCCGACAATTCAACTTGTAATGATAAAGCATAAATATTTATGTCATCAATTTCAGCAAGAAACAATAGAAAGTTTCATGAACATCTTATGATGATTTGACACGAGAATCAAACGTTAATTATTCTTTGAAGAAATATAGCACTAACTTACACTTGAGTCTGAAACCTGAGATGAGTAATCATTTGTAATAGATGACAGGTTTATTGGAATTGGTATCCCACATGCCTCCTTCCTTCACATACTCAAGATACCTAGCAAATTCAGGCCTAGCTGTTGTCGTCTTCTTCCGCCGAAAATCAAAGAGGCTGAGAAGTGGGTGAATCTTCTTCTCCTTAGGTTTACTACTTCCCTTTCTCGTGGGGTTTCTCTGCAGATTCATCTCACCAAAGGTTGAAGCCATAGCTCGAGAAGGCAAACTTGTGCTCCTCTTAAAATCCTCATTTGAAGTTCCACTGCCACCATGTTCTTTATCTAATTTCTCATACCTAGAAGGGCTTTTCCGAGTGCTTGTGGATCTAAACATGTTGGACTGTGTTGAGTGAGAAAGAATGGTTGAGTTTTAGACGATGAAAGGAAAACGATTGGTGAGAGATAAATATTGTAGGATGATACAGGACATATTTTATATATTAGGTTTGGTTCGATTTTTCTACGTCTGTGCTCTTTGGTGTTATCCTTGGTGTTTTGTTTTCAATGTTTTGTATACAAAACATGAGGAGTGACTAAATTTTGGTTGACTTTGGTGCCGTCCCAACAAAACTCCATCCACAATTAATTGAAAGTCAAAAAATATAACTTGAGAATATGACATTTTAGTTTTTCTTGGCATACCAAGCTTTGTTTCCTCAGTCAAAGTGCCATTAATTGATGTCTCCATTAAATATTTATTACTTGCACATGAAAACATTGACACATTCAAATGAATTGGTGGGAAAACTTGACAAGATGGCGTGGCTGAGAAAGTTGATGTGAGAAACGAAACCATAGTTAGAAAAACGGTTTCATAAAACACACTAATACCATTTATTTTATCCTCTATGCTAAAAAAAAGACAAATACATAGTTAGAAAAACAGTTTCATAACACGTTATGTTATTATATTATTATATAAAAAATAATATTGTTATAATTATAATAATAACACAAGTTAATGTAATAACAAGGGAGAGAAGATATCGAAGTCAATTTATAACAATTGTGTTTTTCATAATCTGCTCCACTTCTTTTTTGTCAATTTCTCTGTACTTTTGTTTGACCCCTATAATCAGTATACTTTATTTTTACTCACTTTCTTTTAGTTCCTTCCTTTTTTTTTTTCCAATTTCTAACCTATCAAACAAAGTGTTAAAATTTAACCATCGATGCCTGTATAATCTATGATGTTATTTTGGGACAATTTCTATTTAGCACTTTTAATAAAATAAATGCTCATGATGGAGACATCGTTGTGTAAGTTCTAAATAAAATTCGAATCAATCTGAGATGCCTACCAATATTCTTGACTGCAATTTAAAGTTCTTTTGTTATACATTAACGACTTGGTTGAGTGAAGCTTTGAAAACCTACCCACACACGCAAGAAATGCACATGCACAGTTCGTTGAAAAAATTACTGATGGATAATTTTATTATGTTGCTTGTTATTATTGTTTTCACCACTTGATATTATAGAAGGATTGAATTTACATTTTTAATTAAGTTTAATATAGCTCAAATACACTCCTAAAAACTACCTAAATTAATAAAAAGGAAGAAAAATATAGGAAAGTGGCATTTTAAAAATTGAACTTGATATTAATTGTTTAATAAACTGTAGTGGTAATATTCCCAGTAGTTAAGTATACCGTCTAATTAGTTTTTCATTGTTATATAATTGAGTATGACAAAAATTAAGTCTTTTATATATCAATAATGTATATCAATAATGTGTACATTATTGATTATATTTTTTTAAAAAGTAACACTAATTGAATTTATAATATATAAAAATCCTTATTTTTTGGTTGAGACTTGACTATAAGCTGTTCTGAATTTGAGAAGTAGCCCAAAGAAACAAACCACTATGACAGAGTCTGCCAATACTTTCCAGTGGCCTGTTGATAAGCAATTGTACCATGAAATACAACCCAAACAGTGTTGCAACAATTGTCATTGTTTTCGTGATGCTTTTCAGTCCAACCTTCTAATGTATGACATTTAGCCGTGTCAAGTTTCAAAGTTTTATATCTAAGGTAAACTCAAATTCAGTTCTAACAAGAGCCAAAAGTTATTGTAAAAAAATCGCCTTTAGTCCCTTTTCACTGGCCAATGACAATATTACTTTTGTTAAAATAAAATAATAATATCTTGCTAATTATATACTGGGATGAAGACTAAAACACAATGACTGTTCAGAATTACTAAAATGTCTATGAAATTATAATGATCATAGAAATAACAAAAATATTTGTATACGGACAGATAAAATTTATAGCATACTTACGTATATTTATTATTTGCAGATAATAGATGATAGTGAATAATAAATATTTTAATACTAATTTATAAATAAATTGACTGTAATAAACTTTCAAGTATTTATTATCTATAAAAAATGAAAATGAAAATTTAATTTATTAAATTTAATTTAATTTAAATTTAAATTAATTTATATTTTATTAAATTTAATTTAATTAAAATTAAATTTATATTTATATTTACTTTATATTATATTATATTTTATAATATTTTTTTATTATTTTATTTTAAAAATTTATAAAATATTTTATTTTAAATATCTGTAAATATTCATTGATATATTCGTAAGTATATTTTAAATTAATATCTGATGATAATAAATGGATAACAAATGAATTTTTTGTTGTTGCAAATAATATGATAGATAATAGAATGACACTACTTCTGCCTAACATGTCATCCCTAGTTGTTCTAATCCCGACAATCCCTCTCCAAAATTAAAGTCTGAATTTAGCGCCACCTTGGACACATTCTCCCTCTTTTAAGCAGTTCGATAGTTGCGTCCATGCCTATGGAACTAACTAACAAAACTTAATGTGACTGAAATTTTTAACAAATACGAATGTTAATACATGATAATAAGATGTGCAATATGAACAATAGCTAATCTTGCACCACTAAACTAGGGTAAGTAGGCAATCTTGTTAAATATGGCTTCGATAACATCCAACGAATTTTGTCCACTTTCTTTCTTGGTACCTTTTTTTCTTAAAGATTATTAATAAGTGATAATAACAAATATTTTGCTCATACAAATTGCCAATTTAGCTTCTACAGCTTCATAATTTATGTATCTATTTACTCTTGATGAGACTATTACAACAGAACATATACTTTGACAAAATAATTATAAAAGTTTTTGGAAGCTGGGACTGCGTGCCTTCCGGCAAAGGTGAGGCTTCTATACACAATTGCAAGAGAAAGGGAGAGAGAAAAACCAGACCTGGGCCGCCAGGCATGTTACCGCTCCTCTGAGTTGAATTTGTTCCAAGCTTCCTGAAGTAGATGAAGTATAATAATTAGTGAAGTGTATGAAGCTTAACCGAACTACAAAGCTTTGTCATTAAATAACTAGAGATGAAGCATAAAAAGCAATAAACTTAAACTGCCAGGTGAACTCATCAAATAATGTGATAAATGAATATTATAAGTGAAATCAAGTTCATTTCATTTTTGGCCTACTCATGATTTTGTTTTGCTTAATCCTACTAATGCTTTTGTTGTACAGTGTAAAGTGTTCATTCTAAATAGTTTACCTTCCACAGTATCCACTTAGTGAACCAGGAACATTTTTCCTACTCCTTATCCATACCAGGTACAGGACATTTTTTTGCAACAAAAAAATGAATAAAACTAACAAAGTCAAAGATAGCTTGTATGCATTACACACCTTCAAAAGATCAAAAACTTTTTCACATATGTATTTGTGTTGAATACTAGCCCCACGTTGCTGTAATTTGTCAGGATGAACACACAGGGTGGCCTTCCTGTAAGCTTTCTTCACAGCAGCAGAAGTAATGACCTCCGTCAATGGGATTGATTGCCACCCAGAATCAGGCCCAAGGATCTGACAAGTAAAAAAAGTTAAAAATGGAACCAATTTTAGATTATTATGGATGGTTGCTCATCGCAACTCAAAAGGTTACAAATTGCAGAAGTTTTAAACATCTTGATCAAGCATCCCAATAGATACATATCTCATTATGAGACACGTCACCTCGACCTAAACATGACAGACTATACTTTGTTTATTTGTGCGAAATTGGGAGTAGGAGGTTATAGAAGCAGCATAAACCTAGTTCAGAATATGTGCACCTACATATTGCAATGTAGAAAGTAAGGCACGCAAGTTTCCTTCTTTTCCACCTGACCACCTCCTTACTTCAGCATCCAGAGTCTCTGATAGTCTCTGCAAACAGCAGCAGACTTGAGTAACCAATGAGCCACATAAACAACAATTTATACAAAGAGAAAAATTATATGGATCACATTTCTCTCAGCTTGCTCCTTCTGAGCTAGAAGGTCACGCATATTCTTTTCTGCCAAAGCTTTTGCCTGAAATTTGCAGAAAATTCATCATTATGTCATTGTGTATGTGCATTTATATTTGATCATCAAAAGATTGAAGATCTTACTGCACGCTCAGCTGTTCGGCGATGCCTCTCCAGTCTAGCTCTACATCTCTGAGCTGATTCACCTTCTCTTTCTGATCTCTCAGAAAAAGAGGCAGCTTTAAAGAAATTGAAATATTTAGCCAAGATTAATTAGCAGGATATGGTAAAATATTAAACGAGACTACATACTAAAGCATTGCAGGAACAATTTTACATACCACCATAAAGAGAATATGGATGTCTGGAAACCGTTGAGGGGCTAGAGTTCTGAAACTGTGGATCCAGCATATCCTATTATTTAATTCATTAGAAATATGATGGACAATGCACAATTTATCAACAATAGATTTAAACAGATACTTACTGAGGATGAAGAGTCCTGTCTTCCACAAAAATTGTCAGATACAGATCTCTCTAACGGTTCTCTGGACTCAAACGCNACTTTATATTATTTTGTTTATTTTATAACTAAACTCATCCTTCTTTTTTGGGTGTACTTGGGTTACCGGTAAATAAAATAAAAACACAATTTACCAATAATATAATCTAAAATAAATTATTTAATATTATACTTTTGGTGAAATAACGATACTTATGTAATAAAGCATACAATACCTAAAATATATAATACCTTTATAACAAATTTGCCAGACAATTAATATGTTTATTTTGTGTTCATTAAATAGTTAGGTTAGGTTCAACAAGTTATTAAACTCGGTTATTTAATTAAATTATAAATTATTATGCTTGACCAATACCCACGGACTGAACTTAATTCACCAAAATGTAGTGGAATTAAATGGATTTCAAAATGTGACGTGACTTGTTACATCCTAAAAGTAACAATGGTGGAGAGATACTGCTAATTGTGGTGAGATGACCATCATACACATAGCAACAGTGAAAAAGTCATTACATATAAAATTCAATAATATGTAAAAAAATCAAATCTATGAATTCTTTTTCCTAGTTTTGAAACCCCCTTTTCAAAAATCTGTTTCCTGGTTCATTCTCCAAGCATAACACACCGAGTTAAAGTATTTAAACTGTTGTTGTCCATGATATAGAGTATGAGAATACATGCAATTGCGTAAAACGTTGGAGGATATATACATTTGCTTTTCATTCGAGTTGAGTGCATGAGAAAATCAATTTTTTGACAAGTTAATATTAAATCATTCATATACGTTAATTTATTATTATTATACCACACAAATGCATGAAAAAAAAGCATAAAATTTATGATGAAATCAACGTTCAAAATAAACTTGATAATTAAGGGTCAAATAGCCTTTTTCTCACTTGATAACGTCATGAGGGCGGTCAGGGATTGCGGCTCACTGCATGCATAATTCATCAGGTTTTTGTTTTTGTTGCATATAGTCACCATTTTCTAGTATTCATATTCTTACATGATTTTTCTGCATAAATTTGTAAACCCTTTTAATCTATACACAAACCATCTCTTATAAACATTCATAAAAGATGACATCATGGGAAGAAGAACGATGTTGTATGTGCAGTGTGTTTTTATCTGGCCTCCGACAATTCAACTTGTAATGATAAAGCATAAATATTAATGTCATCAACTTCAGCAAGAAACAATAGAAAGTTTCATGAACATCTTATGATGATTTGACACGAGAATCAAACGTTAATTATTCTTTGAAGAAATATAGCACTAACTTACACTTGAGTCTGAAACCTGAGATGAGTAATCATTTGTAATAGATGACAGGTTTATTGGAATTGGTATCCCACATGCCTCCTTCCTTCACATACTCAAGATACCTAGCAAATTCAGGCCTAGCTGTTGTCGTCTTCTTCCGCCGAAAATCAAAGAGGCTGAGAAGTGGGTGAATCTTCTTCTCCTTAGGTTTACTACTTCCCTTTCTCGTGGGGTTTCTCTGCAGATTCATCTCACCAAAGGTTGAAGCCATAGCTCGAGAAGGCAAACTTGTGCTCCTCTTAAAATCCTCATTTGAAGTTCCACTGCCACCATGTTCTTTATCTAATTTCTCATACCTAGAAGGGCTTTTCCGAGTGCTTGTGGATCTAAACATGTTGGACTGTGTTGAGTGAGAAAGAATGGTTGAGTTTTAGACGATGAAAGGAAAACGATTGGTGAGAGATAAATATTGTAGGATGATACAGGACATATTTTATATATTAGGTTTGGTTCGATTTTTCTACGTCTGTGCTCTTTGGTGTTATCCTTGGTGTTTTGTTTTCAATGTTTTGTATACAAAACATGAGGAGTGACTAAATTTTGGCTGACTTTGGTGCCGTCCCAACAAAACTCCATCCACAATTAATTGAAAGTCAAAAAATATAAATTGAGAATATGACATTTTAGTTTTTCTTGGCATACCAAGCTTTGTTTCCTCAGTCAAAGTGCCATTAATTGATGTCTCCATTAAATATTTATTACTTGCACATGAAAACATTGACACATTCAAATGAATTGGTGGGAAAACTTGACAAGATGGCGTGGCTGAGAAAGTTGATGTGAGAAACGAAACCATAGTTAGAAAAACGGTTTCATAAAACACACTAATACCATTTATTTTATCCTCTATGCTAAAAAAAAGACAAATACATAGTTAGAAAAACAGTTTCATAACACGTTATGTTATTATATTATTATATAAAAAATAATATTGTTATAATTATAATAATAACACAAGTTAATGTAATAACAAGGGAGAGAAGATATCGAAGTCAATTTATAACAATTGTGTTTTTCATAATCTGCTCCACTTCTTTTTTGTCAATTTCTCTGTACTTTTGTTTGACCCCTATAATCAGTATACTTTATTTTTACTCACTTTCTTTTAGTTCCTTCCTTTTTTTTTTTCCAATTTCTAACCTATCAAACAAAGTGTTAAAATTTAACCATCGATGCCTGTATAATCTATGATGTTATTTTGGGACAAATGGTTTTTTTTTCTATTTAGCACTTTTAATAAAATAAATGCTCATGATGGAGACATCGTTGTGTAAGTTCTAAATAAAATTCGAATCAATCTGAGATGCCTACCAATATTCTTGACTGCAATTTAAAGTTCTTTTGTTATACATTAACGACTTGGTTGAGTGAAGCTTTGAAAACCTACCCACACACGCAAGAAATGCACATGCACAGTTCGTTGAAAAAATTACTGATGGATAATTTTATTATGTTGCTTGTTATTATTGTTTTCACCACTTGATATTATAGAAGGATTGAATTTACATTTTTAATTAAGTTTAATATAGCTCAAATACACTCCTAAAAACTACCTAAATTAATAAAAAGGAAGAAAAATATAGGAAAGTGGCATTTTAAAAATTGAACTTGATATTAATTGTTTAATAAACTGTAGTGGTAATATTCCCAGTAGTTAAGTATACCGTCTAATTAGTTTTTCATTGTTATATAATTGAGTATGACAAAAATTAAGTCTTTTATATATCAATAATGTATATCAATAATGTGTACATTATTGATTATATTTTTTTAAAAAGTAACACTAATTGAATTTATAATATATAAAAATCCTTATTTTTTGGTTGAGACTTGACTATAAGCTGTTCTGAATTTGAGAAGTAGCCCAAAGAAACAAACCACTATGACAGAGTCTGCCAATACTTTCCAGTGGCCTGTTGATAAGCAATTGTACCATGAAATACAACCCAAACAGTGTTGCAACAATTGTCATTGTTTTCGTGATGCTTTTCAGTCCAACCTTCTAATGTATGACATTTAGCCGTGTCAAGTTTCAAAGTTTTATATCTAAGGTAAACTCAAATTCAGTTCTAACAAGAGCCAAAAGTTATTGTAAAAAAATCGCCTTTAGTCCCTTTTCACTGGCCAATGACAATATTACTTTTGTTAAAATAAAATAATAATATCTTGCTAATTATATACTGGGATGAAGACTAAAACACAATGACTGTTCAGAATTACTAAAATGTCTATGAAATTATAATGATCATAGAAATAACAAAAATATTTGTATACGGACAGATAAAATTTATAGCATACTTACGTATATTTATTATTTGCAGATAATAGATGATAGTGAATAATAAATATTTTAATACTAATTTATAAATAAATTGACTGTAATAAACTTTCAAGTATTTATTATCTATAAAAAATGAAAATGAAAATTTAATTTATTAAATTTAATTTAATTTAAATTTAAATTAATTTATATTTTATTAAATTTAATTTAATTAAAATTAAATTTATATTTATATTTACTTTATATTATATTATATTTTATAATATTTTTTTATTATTTTATTTTAAAAATTTATAAAATATTTTATTTTAAATATCTGTAAATATTCATTGATATATTCGTAAGTATATTTTAAATTAATATCTGATGATAATAAATGGATAACAAATGAATTTTTTGTTGTTGCAAATAATATGATAGATAATAGAATGACACTACTTCTGCCTAACATGTCATCCCTAGTTGTTCTAATCCCGACAATCCCTCTCCAAAATTAAAGTCTGAATTTAGCGCCACCTTGGACACATTCTCCCTCTTTTAAGCAGTTCGATAGTTGCGTCCATGCCTATGGAACTAACTAACAAAACTTAATGTGACTGAAATTTTTAACAAATACGAATGTTAATACATGATAATAAGATGTGCAATATGAACAATAGCTAATCTTGCACCACTAAACTAGGGTAAGTAGGCAATCTTGTTAAATATGGCTTCGATAACATCCAACGAATTTTGTCCACTTTCTTTCTTGGTACCTTTTTTTCTTAAAGATTATTAATAAGTGATAATAACAAATATTTTGCTCATACAAATTGCCAATTTAGCTTCTACAGCTTCATAATTTATGTATCTATTTACTCTTGATGAGACTATTACAACAGAACATATACTTTGACAAAATAATTATAAAAGTTTTTGGAAGCTGGGACTGCGTGCCTTCCGGCAAAGGTGAGGCTTCTATACACAATTGCAAGAGAAAGGGAGAGAGAAAAACCAGACCTGGGCCGCCAGGCATGTTACCGCTCCTCTGAGTTGAATTTGTTCCAAGCTTCCTGAAGTAGATGAAGTATAATAATTAGTGAAGTGTATGAAGCTTAACCGAACTACAAAGCTTTGTCATTAAATAACTAGAGATGAAGCATAAAAAGCAATAAACTTAAACTGCCAGGTGAACTCATCAAATAATGTGATAAATGAATATTATAAGTGAAATCAAGTTCATTTCATTTTTGGCCTACTCATGATTTTGTTTTGCTTAATCCTACTAATGCTTTTGTTGTACAGTGTAAAGTGTTCATTCTAAATAGTTTACCTTCCACAGTATCCACTTAGTGAACCAGGAACATTTTTCCTACTCCTTATCCATACCAGGTACAGGACATTTTTTTGCAACAAAAAAATGAATAAAACTAACAAAGTCAAAGATAGCTTGTATGCATTACACACCTTCAAAAGATCAAAAACTTTTTCACATATGTATTTGTGTTGAATACTAGCCCCACGTTGCTGTAATTTGTCAGGATGAACACACAGGGTGGCCTTCCTGTAAGCTTTCTTCACAGCAGCAGAAGTAATGACCTCCGTCAATGGGATTGATTGCCACCCAGAATCAGGCCCAAGGATCTGACAAGTAAAAAAAGTTAAAAATGGAACCAATTTTAGATTATTATGGATGGTTGCTCATCGCAACTCAAAAGGTTACAAATTGCAGAAGTTTTAAACATCTTGATCAAGCATCCCAATAGATACATATCTCATTATGAGACACGTCACCTCGACCTAAACATGACAGACTATACTTTGTTTATTTGTGCGAAATTGGGAGTAGGAGGTTATAGAAGCAGCATAAACCTAGTTCAGAATATGTGCACCTACATATTGCAATGTAGAAAGTAAGGCACGCAAGTTTCCTTCTTTTCCACCTGACCACCTCCTTACTTCAGCATCCAGAGTCTCTGATAGTCTCTGCAAACAGCAGCAGACTTGAGTAACCAATGAGCCACATAAACAACAATTTATACAAAGAGAAAAATTATATGGATCACATTTCTCTCAGCTTGCTCCTTCTGAGCTAGAAGGTCACGCATATTCTTTTCTGCCAAAGCTTTTGCCTGAAATTTGCAGAAAATTCATCATTATGTCATTGTGTATGTGCATTTATATTTGATCATCAAAAGATTGAAGATCTTACTGCACGCTCAGCTGTTCGGCGATGCCTCTCCAGTCTAGCTCTACATCTCTGAGCTGATTCACCTTCTCTTTCTGATCTCTCAGAAAAAGAGGCAGCTTTAAAGAAATTGAAATATTTAGCCAAGATTAATTAGCAGGATATGGTAAAATATTAAACGAGACTACATACTAAAGCATTGCAGGAACAATTTTACATACCACCATAAAGAGAATATGGATGTCTGGAAACCGTTGAGGGGCTAGAGTTCTGAAACTGTGGATCCAGCATATCCTATTATTTAATTCATTAGAAATATGATGGACAATGCACAATTTATCAACAATAGATTTAAACAGATACTTACTGAGGATGAAGAGTCCTGTCTTCCACAAAAATTGTCAGATACAGATCTCTCTAACGGTTCTCTGGACTCAAACGCAGTCCTTTCATTCTTTAACTTCTCCAGGGCCCGGTCTTGAGCCTCTGCAGTTGCTCTTTCTACAGCAGCACGTTCTGCTTTCAATCTTGCCTCTGTAGTTTCTTTATCAATGTGTGACTTGTCCCTGGCCTCAGCACATGCCTTCTCAAGTCTTTCCCTGGCCTCTGCCAGAGCTTTGTACCGTGCTTCCATAGTTGCTCTTTCAAATGCAGCCCTTTCTTCCCTTTCACAAGCTTCAGCGTATGCCCTATCCCGAGTCTCAAAAGTTGCTCTATCAACAGCCATTCTATCTTTTTCCCTTTCCCTTTCCCTCTCGGCCTCCAGCACTGCTTTCTCAACTTCTTTTTCTCGCTCTTTTTCTCTATCCACCTCCTCTTCTATCTTTCTAAGACGATCATTTTCCGACTCATTTTCTCTTTTCATCCTTTCAGTATCTTTAATTATTGCAGATTTTTCATTAATACTCTTAGTTTTGCTTTCTGTGGATTGACCAATAT